TTTCAGTTTGCAAGTGGCCTGGTTTGGACAGCAAATCCAGCGGTTCCCCTGGCCCTGGATGCCCATGCATGTGGCACGGGGGTCCCTTGTATTCCTCAGCTAATCTGAGAAAAACTGACTGATTGTCGCTTCACTTTTGTTTGTCTTTCTTTCTGGTGCCCCATAAGGACACCGAGAAATGGATGATCTCACTGAGTACACAGATCATAGGAGAAAAGCCCCAGACAGTTAGTGGTCCCATGTGGGCCATCGTTTATCCCAGGGCAGTGTGAACACTCATGATGGTGTCTTGTGCTGTCTAGAGCAGTGATTTATGCAGCCAGCATTGCCTTGTGGGAGGAACCTGGGAGTGGTCCGGCGAGGAGGAGAGTCACTTCCCCCTCCTCTCTCCCTTCCATCAGCCTCAGACGTGGCTGACTCTGTGAGAGGCTGCAATATCTCCTTCATACTTTCAAGGTGGTCTTAATGCAGGGTATTGGGGAGGAGGGAGGAAGCAGAGAGGAGAGAGATACAGATTCTTTCCGATCTTGCCCTTCTCCAAGTCAGTTAAAAAAAAAAAGTCACACACACACATTTGGGGGGTTACTTTTGCATTTGTCTGATATTTACTGAAAGGTACAAAGTTTACTTCTCACACCCCTGGGAAGATATTTACTTATATTTATTACTTTAATTTGTTCATTCATTTGTTATTACCTTAAACATTCTATTCACTCCTCAATGCTAGGCCACTGGGTGGTGCTGGAAATTTCAACTAGAAAAGAAATTCAAGAAGGAATAGCATTAAAATGTAAAGTAATGCTTTCTTCCCTATAGCCAGCTATCTACCCAGCCATCCCTCTATTAATCTATCTATCTTAGTGCTCATGAGACCTCTCTGAACTTGACAGTGGTTGAACTTGTTGGTGAACAGCTGATGCTCATTGGACCTGAGATCGTGATCTGAATTGATGTTGATGTTGGTTGAAACTCTACCCTATAACCTCCCTTGAGCTCACCATACACAACTCGGTTGAGTCATTTCATTATACAGATGCTCAGATGTTCCTAATGAGCTGGCTTATTTTCACTTTGCAGCCCAAACAGAGATTAAAGCATTAAAGCAAAATGCATTTAGTTTTAAAATGTTTTAGTTGAGCTCAAATATTCAGATCATTGGAAAATACTTTATAAAATTCATAGAAGTTAGAACTATGAACTCTTTTAGAATTATACTTATGAAGTTAGAAATGATTCCCCTACTATACAGGTATATATATTTAAATGCTAGAATTTTTAATGTTTTTATTATAAAGAAATGATCATTGTTTGAGGAGATAGTGTTTACCCTAATTTGAACATTGCACAATTTATTACATCTATCAAAATCTCACATAGTACCTCACATAAATATGCATAACTTTTATATATTTGTTAAAATTAAAAAAAACAATGCTCCTAATTCAAATGATATCCAGTTATACCAATTCATTTTAATCTTAGATAGAACTAGACTTCTGGAGTTGGGGTTTATCCAAAGCCTTATTACAAGTTTGGGAAGTTTTAGGAGAGCTTATTTTTGTCTTCCTTGCTTCTAGTTAGATATTTTTCTCCCAGTGAATTACTTCGGATCTTCAGTGATTCCCCTGTGCCCATAGCAACCCTTATATATACTTCCAAAAAGCTGCTTCCTCTAGACATTTGGGTGTGTTGCCCACTTTACTGAAGATTTGGGCGGGGAGAGAGGAATTTATATCGCAGATACGAAGCAAGTTCAAATTGGTTACTAGACACAGCTGTTCTTCCCAATTTTCCAAATTGCTGCTCCTGAACTTGAACCTCCCTCTTGTCAATTGATACCCATTTCTTTTCTTCCTCCTTTTTCAGGCTTTTCTTTCTATTTTCTTTGCCCCCTCTCTTTCAGAGTATGAAATCAGCCTTTCCCCATTTTACTGTATTTATTTTTTTTAAAAAAATCTTGTTTTTAATGCAGAGCATTAAAGTTCTAACACCCAGTTCCAACAGCCCAGTGAAGTCTGGGATCTCCACTTGCAGCTTCAAGAGGGTAGTCTGATCAGAAATGATGCTTTGAAAATCCTTTTGACCTAAACTCTCAGACAATGGCCACCTTCCTCCTCCTTCTCCAGTTGGAGGTGAGGATGGAAGTGGGAGAAGTAGAGTGTGTTCTGGGTACCATATGTAGAAGAAAGGGCAAAACTCCCTGCTTTGAGCTAATGGGATTTGAATCATGGCTGCTTTACTTCCTGGCTGTGTGACCTAGGACAAATTAGTTAACTTTTCTGTGCCTGTTTCTTCTCTCTAAAGTGAGAATTATACTACTGTCTTTCAAGTTTTGGAAAAGAATGAAATGGAATGATGTCTCTAATGCACCTGGCTAAATGCAGGCACTTAAAAATGTTAGTTTCCTTTTCCTTTTAAGGGAGAAACACTTTCCTTGAGGGTTACCTATGCAAACATTAAATATTTATAAATTGCATAATTCAAGAAAAACAAAACTCGGAAAGACATCTTTAGATTTTTGATGAAAAATAATCATCTCATTTGCCTTTTGTGCAAGTCTGTATTTTTAATGTGCTGGACTGGGTCTGCTTTTGGGTGTTGATGTGTGATTCTCAGCACTGTGACACTTATAGCCTTATGGGTGATGGAAATATTGGGTTTCGATGTGTGATTTGAGACAACCGGAGTGACTGATGAGGCCTGTAACTGTCCCTGAGGTATTGTTTTGAAGTGGGCCCATTGGGAGCTGTATGGATAATGAGGAGATAAACACCAGGCTGAGGCTTTGTGGCTTGGTCTGATGGCCCTCACACAGCACAGTGAAGAATGGATATCTTACCAGTGGAAAGGACTCACCATATGCTTCTCCTCAAAAGTTGAGTAGAATATAGGTCTGAATGAGTAAGTGGTCCTGATTGATATTCTTGTCAATTAAGCTGATTTAAACTATCGGCAGTTTGTATACTTCTTTTGGATTTTAAATTCCGGGATGCCAGGGCTTGTGTTAGAAACAGTGGTGGCTACATTATTCAAAATATTTCATGTTTTTAGGGGCAAGAAAGAATAATCCAAAGGCTTACACAAGAGATTTCCCCCCCACCCGTCATCCAGTTGATTGACTGATTGCCAAATCTAGCCTGTCACTTGTTTTTGTACCTGTAGCTTGCTTTGTTAAAGAATGATTTTTGAATATTTAAAGGGTGATGAAAAAAGAAAAATACATGACAGAGATTATATATAGCTTTCCAAAGCTAAAATATATGCCCTCTGGCCCTTTATAGAAAAGGTTGCTTTTCCCTGGTCTGGAGAGTGTGAAATGGCTCATTCAATATCATTATTGAAGGCGAAATGTAATGATATGGATTTTTCAGTTGTAATCTGGTTTGTGACAGCCACCGTGTGCCTGTTTAAACAAAGCTTAGTGGATATTGCTGATAACCACATTTCAATATTTGTATCTTGCCCTCTCTGCGTAGGGTTATCCCAGCTTTGCCCTGGGCTCTGAGTCTCTATTGTTGTTCTAGAAAGTAGCTTATATGTCTGCCACCTCCTCTCTACCTGCCACCCTCTCACACAGCTAACCCATGCAGACAGCATGGACTTGAACTACAAATGACAGCACTTCCTTCCTCCCTGCTGGCCTGAAGGGGTGTGGCAGGGCCAGCTCCAGAAGTGCTGGATTGGAGTTTTTCATCTTGTTCTTCTCCTGCCGTATCTGGGGGAGGGCTTCTAGGTGTATATGTCATTGGTGTAGAAACATCAGCCCAGGGAAGGGGGCAGTTGTGAGCCTGTAATCTCTCTCAGCAGTGGGGCCTGCATTAGACTCTGAAAAAATGGGCAGAGTTTGCATAAGTGAAGGAACAGAGGAACAAGGGAGCATGTCATGAGGTGTCCTGACTGGAGTGGAGACTTAATATGGTGAGAGATGAGAATGGGCCATCATTAGGGCCAATTTAGTGGCATTTTTAAGACATGGAATTCCAAATCCAGTAGCTAACATTGGACTTTATTTTAGAAAAGAATGAAGTGTGCGTGTGTGTGTGTGTGTGTGTGTGAGAGAGAGAGAGAGAGAGAGAGGGAGGAGGGGGGAGTGTACATACCATAGCCATGCTCCGCATGTTTCAGTCAACCATGGGCCACATAGATGATGGTGGTCCCATTGGCTTACAAAACCCAGTGACATTGTAACAATTTCAGCTTATGTAAGTACAGTCTATGATGTTCATGCAATGACAAAATCACCTAACAATGTATTTCTCAGAACTGTCCCTGTCATTAAACAGCGCAACTGTCTTTGTTAAACCTTAACAAACAGACATTGGGCTAAGTATATTGTTTACATGGGCCATCTATCTCACTTAATCCTCTCAACAATTTTTGGAGGAAGATCTCCTCCCTAGTTTAACAGATTTAGAGTGGTTGAATTCACTTGCTCAAGGTTGCAAAGTTAATAATAGGCCGAACCAATATGACCTGACCTGAGCGCCTAATACTTAACTCCTGTGCTATTGAAACTAATTCAGTATGAAACATTCTAACAAAGCAGGAAAAGGGGAGGGAGGGAGGAGAGAGAGAGAGAGAGAGAGAGAGAGAGAGAGAGAGAGAGAGAGAGAGAGAAGATAGAAGAGGAGAGAGAGAGAAGCAATTGAAATCCTGCCTTTCAAAAATGACCAGAGTGAACATTCTAGAGCATTCTATGTGTATGCATGACAATATGTAGATGTTTTGCATAACTCAGCCTGTTATGTGCCTGCACATTTAATATAAATGGCACCATGCTCTATATCCTAGTTTCCCCCTCCATTTAAAACTCATTTTCTAATTTCACAAACGGATGTGTGATATTTTGCTTTACGACGGTACCCTCATTCACTTAACCAGTATCGCTAGATCACTGCGGATTCTTAAGCAGGGGAGCAATTTATTGGAAGATTAAAAACAAAACAAAACAAAACAAAACATTTTCAACTGAGTCTCATGCTTTTCCCCTTCCTTTGCAGCACGCCCTTGATGCTGACAATGCGGGAGTCAGTCCCATAGGAAACTCCTCCAACAGCAACAGTCACTGGGACCTGGGAAGTGCCTTTTTCTTTGCTGGAACTGTCATCACCACCATAGGTATCTGTTCATTTGCTACTGTCCTTCTCTCTGTGGGCTGTCCCTAGTGATGGCTGGTCAGCATTCTGTCCTGAGTACAGGTACAGTGTACAAGTAGTTCAAGGTTGAAAAGAGGCTCATGACACACTACCAAATGAAGAGTCACTGTGGTGGCTTTCAATAAAAAGCAAAGTGGAATAAGAATCTCCTTTCAGAATGAAAGGCTAGGGAGCTTTCAGTTTGAAAGCACCCAAGGAAAAGGCTAGTGTGGAAAATATGAGTTAGTTGAACTCAGTCTGCTCTGTTGAGCTCAAATTTCCTTTTGATGATCGTACTTCTTACTAAAGTTCTATATGGTAGAACCAAAATGCTCTACAGAGTTTGTTTTGAAAAACAACACTCCCTGTTCCTGTCCCATTTTTTCACCTTCCAAGAGACAACTACTTTCATGTCTTTTTGATGATTTCAGTGTTCATCTCCTTGAATTTAAATACCGCATTTGTATTGAGACCTCTGGAATTTGGGGCTTAGCAGTTATTTCTGGACTTCCCATCGTGGAAGAGGAGGAGGAGGTGTTGGTTCACTTTCTTCCTCTCCACATGGCTGCAGAAGGGCTCTCTTCCTGATACAGTTTGATTAGAGTTGAACCTTTGCCTTGGGTTGACTAGGTAAATGCTCTTTGCAACTAGTCATGTGGTGAACTATGATCCCTCCTCCTCCTCTTCTTCGTCCTTCTTTTTATTTTCAGTACTGGGAATTGAACTCAGGGATACACTACTGCTGAGCTGTATCCCCCACCTTTTTCATTTTTAAATTTGAGTTGCCAAGACTGGCCTTGAACTTGTGATCCTCTTTTATCTCAGTCTCTGGAGTTGCTGGGATTACAGGTGTGCACCACCACACCTGGCTATGATTACTTCTTTCCTGCACCAATTTTTGTCTTATTTTATTTGTGTGTGTGAGTGAGTGTATGTGTTTTGACAACTTGAGGAGTTTTGTACTTTTGTCTTAGGAGCTAGCTTTATATCAGTATACAATAACCACAGTGTTCGATTCATTAGCTAGGATAGGTCAGATCCCTGTTATAGGAGATGGCACCTTTTCCTCCACTCCTTCCCCATGACATGATGTTAGTCAACGCCACCTATTAAATGTTTCCTATCCAATGATTAGATATGCTTATGCTTCTATTATGTGATTTGCTGGCTTTAAGGGATAACTCTCGGCTCTCAGCTCTTCCATATAATGCAGTCAAGGGAACTTACTCAGCATCTCAAGTCCCTTTCCCACCTGAACCAACTGCCATGTCATTCAACATACAACAGTTTACACTCTGTTCTGTTACCCTGATGCTCCCATTGGCTTTAGATGTAGTTTTATATTTTCACTACTACCCTTTCTGTTCCTGTGTGTGTGTGTATGTGTGCGTGCGTGTGTGTGTGTGTGTGTGTGTGTGTGTGTGTGTTTATAATGCCTACTCTGCCATGTGCACCTACTAATTTTATTTTTCTTTCTGGGAGCATCAGGGGTTATATTTCCCTTCCTAATTTGTTCCTGGGTTTCTTAGGTCACATTCAATCTTCTCTTGTCATCTCACACTCCTTCCCTGATTTCTTGTTAAACAATATCAGTGTTCCTCTCTAGCCCAGCGGTCCTCGCTCTGTTCAGCATCACTTGCTTGGCTGGCAGTCATTCTAAGTAGTTGCCTCATGAATGGCTCAGGATGCAGTATTCCCTGGGATCTTGCAGTGCTTAGGGTGGCAGGCTTCACAGACAGCTTTGGGGGAGACGACTGGCTGACTCACCTTTTCATTTACACTGGTCTTGTGGGTGTCCCTGTGCTGTCTTTTGATGTCAGTGTTGCCGTGGAGTAACCTGAGGCTGGCCTGCCCTATTTTTCTCCTTTCATCTTCTTATTTTTCTTTTGAATTTTGAGATGGGTTCTCGCTGAGTCGGCGAGGCTGGCTTTGAGCTTTTGATCCTCCTGCCTCAGCCTCCCGAGTCACTGGGATTACAGGCATGTGCCACCGTGCCCAGCTTGCCCTTTTATTTTGATCTTGATATTTTAGTTGAGCTTCTTAAAAGATTATTTCCTTATATAACACTACTGGGTTTTGTCCCTTTTATTTCAAGAAAGTCTTCCTGATGGTCACTTTTAAACAATTTCTCTGCTGTGTGCTTTTGGTTTTATTCTTCAGGGACTCCAACCACACGTCTTTCATGTCTGACTTCTGTGTCTATCATTTTTCTTCTACTTTGTTTGTAACTCTGAAGATGTGGTTTTGTTTTTTTTTACTACTATCCTTTCTGTGTGTGTGTGTGTGTGTGTTTTCATAATGCCTACTCTGCCATATGCTCTGGGAGCATCAGGGGTTATATTTCCCTTCCTAATTTGTTCCTGAATTCAATCTTCACTTGTCCTCTCACACTCCCTCCCTGATTTCTTACACTCTGCTCCATAGTTTCTCTGTGAAGGCTACCATTTTTGTCTAGTTTGGGCAACATTTTTCTGGTGTCGTTAATCCCTTGGGAGTTTTGTTACTCTTTTCACATTTTCCCTTATAAATCCTTTATATTCATGCTGGCCCAGCTTCTTCTTAAAACACTTAACTCCCCCAAACTGGTCAATCCTGGACCAGCCATTTGTCACATGTTTTGGAGGCTGGGTGAGGAGGTCGGGTGAGGCGGGGCCTCCAGATAGCACTTTCCAAGCTTTCTTCCTTTCCACTGCTCATTTCTGAGACAGAGTGCCTCTCACAAGTGTGGCCCCTCCATGTTTTTCTCTGTAGAGACCCACTGCTTCTGTTTTCTGAACCAGATCAGTTTCAGGGTGGTTTCTGCTCTCCCTCTTCACCCTTTCTTCCACACTTGGAGCAACCAGCGACATCTCTTTTAAAGTTCAAGTTGTGAGCCTCACCTTCGTACGTGGGCGCTCTCTGAGGTTGGCCTGGGATGGGCCCTTTCATGGATCTTTGTGCTTCTTCTATTTTTTTTGCCCGTTTGGCTTCCGTCCATTCTCAGCTTCTTTGGGTGGTTCTGTGACCTCTGGATTCTATTCCTCTTGCAGTTCTATAGAAAACAAGTTCGAGGCATTTCTGCCCCATACCACCGTGAAGGAGCTCTCATTCAGAAGACAGGGAGAGGCCCAGCTCCCACTGGTCCCTGTCGGTGATGGCCCACCCTCCAGGACCCCTCTGTCCTCCAGGTGGGAGGACTCCTTTATTAAAACCTGTGATACTTTCTGGGAGGAACTTCCCATCCTGTTTCTTCTGGAGCTCAGCTATGCCTTCCAGAAAGTTCTTTCCTTTGATGCCCAGCTTTGTGTGTCCACTTCTTATTGGTGCACAAGTTTTTGGCTTTGTTTTTAAATCTGGCCTCTAGGACCTAGCTGCTTCCACCTTGGTGAAATTGAGTGAGTTACGTGCAATAAGAACGTTCCGGGTGAAAGACAACTGTCATTCCTACTTAGAAAGTCTTTGTGTCAGGGTTCTTCAGAGAGTTAGAAGCAATAGGGTGTGTGTGTGTGTGTGTGTGTGTGTGTGTGTGTATAATATACATGTAGGTATGGATTTATGGATTTTCTAGGGAAATAGGCTCACATTAATTGAACCAGAGAAACCAGTGGTGTAAGTCTCAGTCCAAGGCTCCAAGGCTGAAGGCCTGAGAAACGAGGGGGCTGTTGGTGTAAATCCAGGAATCCCAAAGCTGGAGAACCTATAGTTCTGATGTCCAAGGGCAGGAGAGGAAGGGTGTGGTCCAGCTCTGGAAGACAGAGTGGAAATCCTTTTTTTCTCTGTCTTTTCTGTTTTATGCACCCCCCACCCCCCGCCGCAGCTGACGGAATATTACCTACCCACTTTGTGGACAGAGCTTCCCAGTCAGTCCACCAATGCCAATCTCCTCACAGGCACACCTAGACATTGTGCTTTACCAGTTCCTTAGTCCAGTCAAGTTGACAATTAAAATTAGCTGTCGCTGTCTCTTAATCTAAATATATGGCATACTAGATTTACATTTGCAAATCTGCAAATACATTAACATCAACAATTACAAGTGTTCTCCGTGTTCTTTACATCCATGGATGTGTGGACTAGTGGGACTTTCTGACGCCCCAGTCCAAGTTAGGTCATGTTAGTACATGACTGCTCAGCACCCAAGAAAGGAATTACATGGCCTGACACCACTCGACGTATGGGCATAAAGTGTGATAGATCTCAGCAACACCTGAGGACATCACTGTAGTTGATGGAGAAGACCAATGTCAGGTTGGGTTGTGTTTGACAGTCTGGTTATTAAGATGGGGCAATGTGTCTTGCATTTTGGAAGATTTGTTGTAAAATAATCAATATTGAGAAAGTCTGGGCCATTTTTAGAGGTACATTTTGAAAAATGTTATCCAGTACTCAGATATTGGACCCATGAGACAATAGTATATGTTGAAGAAGACAGAAGAAGAAAACTCTTAATTTTCTTGTTTTATGACATGGCAAAATTCGTGGTCTCTTTGATGCATTGAAAAACATTATAGCTACATGAAATGACCTTCATTCATGGTATTTATTGGGTCAACTTGTTAGGAACTGGGAACCTGGTTTATCCAACTATGTTTGCTGACTTCCTCTCTTTCTTATTGGAGGTAAATTTAGACAGAAGCCTAAGTAACAGCCATTCATTTTCTTACCTTGATAGATCGTTCTGCTGGAATTTTCTAATACTAAACAAATAGTAATAAAAGGGCCGTGGTAAATGGGGTCCTGCTCACTTCCTTCGAGTTCTGGATGGAGTTGCTCATGAAATATTGATAAATAGATGTTGAATCTCTTACTTCCTAAGGTCAATGTGTTTTCTTTCATCTTCTTTTCTCTTATTTATTTTTTTTTGCTGAAGACAGTTCTCATTGGATTTTCCACTTACCTGTGCCCCCACCCGGCAAAATGTCCTAACTAATTCGCACTTATGGATCAGAGCTCATTAGAGGCCCAGGAAGTATCTTCTGACCTCATGACAAGTGCCTGATTCTG